GTTTTAGAGCTGAGTTAATCTTTCCTAGATCCGGACAAGGGCAGGCTTTAGAGAAAGCCTGTTTATATCTGTTGTTTACTTCACTTTATTTCCTCTGCAGGTGCAAATCACCCTCACAAAAGACAGCTTTGTTTGTGTTTTTCAGGTGTTTGTGTTTGCAGGCTCTCTAAACAGCCATCTCAAAATATGCCAGAGAAGCATATTTTGGGATGAAATATTTTAGTTTTCTACACTGTGAACCTTAGTAGAGAAAATACTCAGGAGTGATTGGAGAATTTATAAATGTTTTTTAAGATGTTTCAAAATACTGTATAAGTTTTGTGACAACTTGGAGTGCATATCTCTTATCACTAAAATAACATCTAAAATTTATCATACATAAGATCAAGATTCTTTGGATAGATAAAAATGTAGTTTTTAGGTGGGAGAAAAAAAAAAGCTTAAACTTTCGGAAGTCTCCTCTCAGTCTACTCACCTGAGGGTAAGAAGCCTGGATAAGAGTTTTGAAAGAGAAGGCACACTAAGATCCCATTCTTGTGACAGAGAAACTAGAAAGTTGTAAAGTTCTGGTCGTACAGAAATAAAATTTTTATACTTTACATTTTCACAAACATTTTTACAATTTTTACCTCAGAGATGTTAAAATAATGATAGTTTTGCCTTCTTTTCATTTCTGTGTGGAATACACACAATTCCCAGAAACAATCACAAACATTTACAAAGAGGAAAATGTCACTTTTAAGTATGTATGTGTATCCTTGCCTTGCTCTAACATAGGTGTTTTTGTACTAACAGCCACTATCTTAAATGAAACCGAACTCATTTTTGGAAGGGATTTAAATTTGAAAAGAGCGTAATTGTTTTCAGCAATAGAATGCATTCTGTTCTCCAAATTTTCCATTATAATGTCTACCAGCAATTAAGAACACTGAAAAACCACCACTTGAATACCAAAGCAGTGTTACTTGGATGTAGGTCAAAAGGTTTCAAATGGTTGTAGCATAAGAATTTCTAAAAATGTTTAAGGATTCTTGGGACCCATCCCTGAGATATTTGAGCCAGGGAGTTTGCATTTTAAGAAGCTATACGGGTGTTTGACTCTTAAGGAATCACTGTTCTTGGGTCTCTAGTTGGGCTGGAGAATGTCAAATCAGTATCTTTTGACTGCAGATTTCAAAACAAGGCATCCCATTTTAAGCTTATTTTACATGTAAATTTTAACACTAACAGTTCTGTGAATACTGTTTTATCCCTGCATTAGCAGTTTGAATATAGGGTTTGTTTACCCCAGGGGTTTCTAATATGAAATATTCAAAGAAATGAAAACATAATTTCATTAAGGCCTCCGATGATCATAATCAAGAGAGACCTTTTTCAACATTGTTTTAAAACTCTAAAAATAGAAGTCAGAAAGTATTGTGGAAATACTCCTAATCCATTTGAGCTATTTAACTTTATCCATGTGTTACTGGAAAGCAGTCCTGATCCACACCTGTAGAGAGAGTTCTTGGATTTCATGTAAGAAAGAATTCAGTAGGCTGGGCGCGGTGGCTCATGCCTGTAATCCCAGCACTTTGGGAGGCCAAGGCAGGTGGATCACAAGGTCAAGAGATCGAGACCATCCTGGTTAACAAGGTGAAACCCTGTCTCTACTAAAAATACAAAAATTAGCTGGGCATGGTGACGCGCGCCTATAATTCCAGCTACTCAGGAGGCTGAGGCAAGAGAATTGCTTGAACCCAGAAGGCGGAGGTTGCAGTGAGCCAAGATTGCGCCATTGCACTCCAGCCTGGGTAACAAGAGCGAAACTCCGTCTCAAAAAAAAAAAAGAAAAAGAAACAAAACAAGAAAGAATTCAGTGTGAGTCCTTAAAGTCCAAGCAAGTTTATTAAGAAAGTAAAGCAGCTGGGCGTGGTGGCTCGTACCTGTAATCCCAACACTTTGGGAGGCTGAGGAGGGTGGATCACCTGGGGTCAGGAGTTGGAGACCAGCCTGGCCGATATGTTGAAACCTCATCTCTACAAAAATAAAAAAAATTAGGCAGGTATGGTGGCAAGCACCTGAAATCCCAGCTACTTTGGAGGCTGAGGCAGGACAAAGACTTGAACCTGGGAAGCAGAGGTTATGGTGAGCCAAGATCGCACCACTTGCCTCTAGCCTGGGTGACAGAGGGAGCCTCCAGCTCATAAAAAAAAAAAAAGCAAAAAGTAAGTAAACGAATAAAGAAAGGCTACTCCATAGGCAAAGCATCCCCACGGGTTGCTGGTCGCTCATTATTATGGTTATTTTTTGATTTTATGCTAAACAAGAGGTGAATTATTCATGTCTCCCCTTTTAAACCTTACAGGGTAACTTCCTGACATTGCCATGGCATTTCTAAACTGTCACAGTGCTGGTGAGAGTATAGCTATGAGGGCAACAGTAGGTCACTCTTGTTGCCATCTTGGTTTCAGTGGGTTCTGGCCGGCTTCCTCACTTCAACCTGTTTTATCAACAAGGCCTTTTTGACCTCTATCTTGTGCCAACCTGCTATCTCATCCTGTGACTTAGAATGCCTTAATCATCTGGGAATGCAACCCAATGGGTCTCAGCCTCATTTTACCCAGCCTCTATTCAACATGGAGTTGTTCTGGTTCACACACCTTTGACACGTGTATTCTAATGGAATTAAAATTAAAATTTTTTATTGCATAGTAATTAAGTGAATCTTTCTGGAATGCTAAAACAAACATACCAATATAGCTTAACAAATAAATGTTAATTTACTGTTCTGTTTTCTAAAGGTAGTTTAGATAACTTTTTTGTTTAATATAATTTATCATCATATATTAAGATAAATTTCCCAAGGACTTCTTTAATTACATTTTGTAAATTTTGATGTTGTATTTTCATTGTCATTCAGTCAAAATATTTTCTTTTTTTTGTGAATTCCTCTTTGATCTGTGGGTTATTTAGAAGTGTTTTATTTAGTTTCTAAATATTTGAGCATTTTCCAGATATTTTCTGTTACTGATGTTTTGTTAATTTCACTGTGGCAGGATGATATATACTTTATATAAATTTCAGGGTTTTTGCCGGGCGCGGTGGCTCAAGCCTGTAGTCCCAGCACTTCGGGAGGCCGAGGTGGGTGGATCACGAGGTCAAGAGATCGAGACCATCCTGGTCAACATGGTGAAACCCCGTCTTTACTAAAAATACAAACAAATTAGCTGGGAATGCTGGTGCGCGCCTGTAATCCCAGCTACTTAGGAGGCCGAGGCAGGAGAATAGCCTGAACCTAGGAGACGGACGTTGCGGTGAGCCGAGGTCATGCCACTGCACTCTAGCCTGGGTAACAAGAGCAAAACTCCGTCTCAAAAAAAAAAAAAAAAATTTCAGGGTTTTTTTCTTATTCAAAGAGGTTGAAGTTGGCTTTATGGCCCAGAATATGGTCTTAGAGAATGTTCAGTATACTTGAAGAGAATGTGTTGCTCTTGTGGTACAGATTGTTATAAAATGGTCATTTTGTTGATAATGTTCATACAGAGTAGGTACCTCACAATCTTTATAATAATATACTTTCAATTTCTCCCTGCCAATTTTGTATTATTGTTGTTATACATTTTACTTTTATATATTCTATAAATCCATAATATATTTCCACTATTTTGCCTTTACACTCCCAATTCTATTCTGATGATCTATACTTGTTTATTTTTATGTCAGTAGCATACAGTCCAGGTTACTGTAGGTTTGTAGTGTGTTTTGAAGTCAGTGTATGTGAACATTCCCATTTTATTGTTTCTTTTTAAGATCGTTTTGGTTATACTGGGTCGGTAGAACTACTGTATAAACTTTAGAATTAGCTTGCCAATTTCTGCAAAAAAAGCCAGCTGGAATTTTTATAGAGAGTTCGTTGAATCTGTAGATCAGTTTGGGGAGTATTGCTATATTCTCAATATTAAGTCTTTTTTTTTTTTTGAGGCAGAGTCTCACTCTGTCATCCAGGCTGGAATACAGTGGCACATATCCCAGACATGCCACCACATCCAGCTAATTTTTGTATTTTTAGTAGAGATGGGGTTTCACCATGTTGGCCAGGCTGGTCTCAAATTCCTAACCTCAGGTGATCCACCTGCCTTGACCTCCCAAACTGCTGGAATTGCAGTGAAGAAGGAGACCCAAGCATCAAAGATCACCTCCCCCTTGACTTCCACACTGCATTTCAATAGAAGAAAAGGCTAGCCCACTGGTGCCTCATAAATCGCCTTCCTATAGATGGCAGGCATTAAATGGGGGAATCTTCGGAAGGCATTGTTTTTACTTAAACAAGATCAAACCCCCACCCCACTACTCCTCCATCAACCAAGACCCTTTCATGTGTAATATCTAGAGTTGTAAGCCTATATGAAGGCAGAGCTTCTCTTTGTTAGATGAGCTTGGCTGTTAGAGAAACATGTCGCCTTGCTTCCAGCCAAAATAAATAAATAACCTCTTCCTTCCTGGTTCAGTGTCCAAGAGGTCTGTTTCTCTCAGCTGTTCCTGCTTCAACAGGCATGAGCCACTGCGCCCGGCCTTCAGTATTAAGTATTTTCATATAAAATATGGGATATCTTTCCATATAGTCAGGTCTTTAGTTTGTTTCAGTGATGTTTTGTAATTTTCAGTGTGTTGGTCTTGCACTTTTTTAATTGAATTTATTCCTTTATTCATTTTTAGATTGTTTATTGATAGTATGTAGAAATACAGTTGAGTTTTGTATATTGATCTTGTTTTAACGCATTTTTAATGACACTTTAAAATTTTTTAAGAGTAAATAAATATCCAGTAGTTTTATTCTGCAGCTGTAAACTGTTATCTAGAAATGCAATATAATTAATTTAGAGTAATATAAGATAAATACCGGAAATTGAAATTTAGTTTTTATTTTTAGGCTTTTTAACTATACATTTAGAGACATCCTCTTAGTTTATCAAATAAGTCTGAAATAAATATAAATAAATTAACATCTTATTTTTTAGTGTTAAATGTTTACAAAAGACAGTGAAGGATTCTTATCACATAATATGTAGACCATGTGCCTATGAACTTGAAGTTTGTGCAAAATGTGGAAAGAAGGAAGACATTGTTATTCCGTGAGTGTTTCCTTTTATGTTTAAATTTTTCTTAGTGATTGATACATACATTTCTTTTAAGAGATGGTCCATAACACTTAGACTTAAGTTGTATGTCAAACTAATATAGACTTTTTTTTTTGAGATGGAGTTTTGCTCTTTTTGCCCAGGTTGAAGTATGGTGGCACAATCTCGGCCCACCGCAACCTCCTCCTCCCAGGTTCAAGCGATTCTCCTGCCTCAGCCACCCAAATACCTGGGATTACAGGCGCACCACCATGCCCAGCTAATTTTGTATTTTTAGTAGAGATGGGGTGTCTCCATGTTAGTCAGGCTGGTCTAGAACTCCTGACCTCAGGTGATCTGCCTGCCTCAGCTTCTTAAAGTGCTGGGATTACAGGGGTGAGCCACCACGCCCAGCTTAATATAGACTTTTGAAATTATTTTTCTATCATGACAATAAAAGTGAAACTTTATACTTTTTTTTCCTTTTTTTGAGACGGAGTTTCGCTGTTGTTACCCAGACTGGAGTGCAATGGCACGATCTCAGCTCACTGCAACCTCCGCCTCCTGGGTTCAGGTGATTCTCCTGCCTCAGCCTCCCGGGTAGCTGGGACTACAGGCGCGCACCACCATGCCCAGCTAATTTTTGTATTTTTTTGTATTTTTAGTAGAGACGGGATTTCATCTTGTTGACCAGGATGGTCTCGATCTCTTGACCTCATGATCCACCCTCCTCGGCCTCCCAAAGTGCTGGGATTATAGGCATGAGCCACTGCGCCCGGCAAAACTTTATATTTTTTAAGAAAATAAAATATTTGTGAGATTCACATTCATTCCAAAGAATTACACATTATTTAACAACCTTTTATTTATTTCTTTTATTTCATTTATTTATTTTTTTTGAGACAGAGTCTCGCTCTGTTGCCTGGGCTGGAGTGCAATGATGTGATCTTGGCTCACTACAATTTAACGCCTTCCAGGTTTATGGGATTCTCCTGCCTCAGTCTCCTGAGTAGCTGGGATTACAGGCACACACCACCACACCTGGCTTATGTTTTGTATTTTTAGTAGAGACGAGTTTCACTGTGTTGGCTAGACTGGTCTCGAACTGCTGACCTCATGATCCACCTGCCTCAGCCTCACAAAGTGCTAGGATTACAGGCATGAGCCACCACTGGCCAACTTTCCTTTTCTTTTTTTTTCCCCCAGAGGGAGTTTCACTTTTGTTCCCCAATTTGGAGTGCAATGGTGCAAAATATCAGTTCACTGCAACCTTCGCCTCCTGGGTTCAAGGGATTCTCCTGCCTCAGCCTGCTGAGATTACAGGTACACACCACCACAACCAGCTAGTATTTTGTATTTTCAGTAGAAATGGCGTTTCACCATGTTAGCCAGGCTGGTCTCAAACTCCTGACCTCAGGTGATCCACCTGCTTCAGCCTCCCAAACTGCTGGGATTACAGGTGTGAGCCACCACACCCAGCCCAACTTTTTTTTTTTTTTTTTGAGTTGGAGTTTCGCTTTTGTTACCCAGGCTGGAGTGCAATGGTGCGATCTCGGGTCACCGCAACCTCCGCCTCCTGGGTTCAGGCAATTCTCCTGCCTCAGCCTCCTGAGTAGCTGGGATTACAGGCATGCGCCACCATGCCCAGCTAATTGTTTGTATTTTTAGTAGAGACGGGGTTTCACCATGTTGACCAGGATGGTCTCGATCTCTTGACCTCGTGATCCACCCGCCTCGGCCTCCAAAAGTGCTGGGATTACAGGTGTGAGCCACCGTGCCTGGCCCCTCAACTTTTCTTTTAATAGACATCATGTATTAATTTCTTTGACCCTACTGTAGTGACAGTAGTATTATAATTGGTTGGATTTCAAGTTAGTATTAAAGGATCTTTTTTTTTGAGATGGAGTTTTGCTCTTGTTACCCAGGCTGGAATGCAATGGCATGATCTCGGCACACTGCAACCTCTGCCTCCCAACTTTAAGCGGTTCTCCTGTCTCAGCCTCTCAAGTAGCTGGGATTACAAGTGTGCACCACTATGCTTGGCTACTTTTGTATTTTTAGTAGCGATGGAGTTTTGCCACATTGCCTGGCTGGTTTTGAATCCCTGACCTGAAGTGATCCACCTGCCTTGGCCTCCCAAAGTGCTGGGATAGCAGGAGTGACCCACCATGCCCAGCTGGATCTTTTTCTTTATACTTACACATTAGGTTCCTGTAATCAAGAAATGTAATGGTAAAAGTCTTTTCAATCTACATGGTTAAATAATGAAAACGTGGGAAATAAAGAGAAATTTTCTATTTCATCTATAGTTTCAATAATAAATCAGAAAAAACAGAACATATTGAAAATAATCCAAGTTCCAACCATAGAAGAAGCTGCAGAAGAAATGAAGAAAGTGATGATGATTTAGATTTTGATATTGATTTAGAAGACACAGAAGGAAACCATCAAATGAATTAATATCACTGCATTAAAAGTTGGCCGGGTGTGGTGGCTCACGCCTGTAATCCCAGCACTTTGGGAGGCCTAGGTGGGTGGATCACCTGAGGTCAGGAGTTCAAGATCAGCCTGGCCAACATGGTGAAACCCCGCCTCTACTAAAAATACAAAAAAATTAGCTGGGCATGGTGGCTCATGCCTATAATCCCAGCTACTCGGGAGGCGAGGCAGGAGAATTGCTTGAACCTGGGAAGCAGAGGTTGCAGTGAGCCAAGATGGCACCATGCACTCCAGCCTGGGTGACAGAGTGAGACTCTGTCTCGAAAAGAAAATAAAGAAATCAAGTCAACTTAAGAATGTGAAATTCTGACCAACTTCTGACTATTTTCCAAAAGATACTGTGAAATCCTAATGAGGAAATCAGAAAAAGCTATAGAAAAATTGACAAATTTTGTACATGAACAATATAAATAGTGTATACTGTATTACCTAATACCAAACTAAACAAGATTCAGAATTGATGGTAGTATAAGAACTAGCTCATGTAAAATAAGATGACATTGTTATATTGCTAGGCTCAAAAATTGGTCCTCAGTATATCCCTTTTGATAAATGATCTTAAGTAGATGACTCAAAAGCAATGCCCTGTCACTTATGTTTAATTGTTACAAAGCAAAAGAAGTGTTTTCAAATAATAATGTTTAACAATTGTATAGCAATTCTTCTTTGTATTTTTATGGTACCCATGACCAAAAGCCTGGAAGGTAGAAGGATCACACCAATGGAAAGAGACTCTGGGTCGCAGCCCGTACCGGGTGGGGACCCAGGGAGGTATGGAGAGGCTGGTGGAATTAAAGCTCAGAATCCAGTCACAAGAACCAACTGGGAAAGACACACTATCAGCTTATTAACGCGATTATGGTACTCGACCCAGCTGAGGAGTCAATTGCAAAACTCAAAACTGCTATCAATGCATTGACTGTATCTGTTGGGACCATATGGGAGGGTCAAAAAGCAATCAACTGCCGATTAGACTGGCTGGAGGAACTCATGCATAGAATCAAGAGACATTGCTTCATGCGTTAGATGAAGTTGATCAGAAAGTTAAATTTATCCACGCTAGACCTAGTATGGGGAGCTTTCCCCAGTGTCGTCAGCACCCTCACCTCCAGCACAAACTGCAAGCAATCCATATCCAGTTGCTGGACTTGCAACACTGGGAAGATCTTATCTAACTACATAATCGATTAAAAAAAAGAGAGAGGGAAGACCCCCTTGGTGAAATACAGTGTACTCTTCACTGCCACTGCCACTGCCACCATCAGATGGGTCTTTAGAGCTTTGAAACACAATCTTTGTAAATTAATCAAAACTTCCCTGTGACCTACCTGCCTTCTACCCATACCAGAATTTGACCACTGCTACCCTAAAAGGCAAAATGGGCTTTGATATAGAAAGACAAACTGCTTCCTCTTTAACAGGAGATGCCACACATTTCTGTGGGTAATTTAAGTTGGACTTTTGACTCTAAAACAACTATAATTCAAAATCCTAATGCAGCTGAAGAATCTTGACTGACTGTTGCCTTTGATGTCCAAATAAGGGACTATTGTGAGTACTTAATGCTACACTTACTATAAGAATGGTAATATTTATTATCTTTCTCCTGGGCTGGATAGTGGACTATATTTTATTATAGGCTTCGAAAAGCACCTGTAAGGCATAACTTCATATTAATAACTTAAATAGTATATGAAGCTATTAAAAAATTTTATATATCATCACAGTTTTATATTTTTAATATATCATCACATTTTTACCTTTTAATCTCTTACACAATGTACATATAGAAAAAGTTCATATAATTTATATAGTTTAATAAATAATTATAAAGGAAAGTTCATGCATTTATATACCTAGGTGAAGAAACTGCCAGCATCAGAAGACCCCAGCAAGGCTCTCCCTCAGCAAAAGTTCATCTTTCTTCCCAGAATTGGCACTATTCTGAATTTTGATAATTATTTTCTTAACTTTTCTACTACCCATGTTTGTACTCCTAAACAATATAAATTAGCTTGGTCTGTTGTTGTTTTAGCTCTTTTTTTAATATTTTTATTTTTTTTCATTTTATTTATTTAAATTTTTTTTGAGACAGAGTTTCACTCTTGTCTCCAGGCTGGAGTGTAATGGTGTGATCTCAGCTCACTGCAACCTCCACCTCCTCGGTTCAAGTGATTCTCCTGCCTCAGCCTTCCAAGTAGCTGGGATTACAGCTGACTGCCACCATGCCCAGCTGATTTTTGTATTTTTAGTAGAGACAGGCTTTCAGCATGTTGACCAGGCTGGTCTTGAACTCCTGACCTCAGGTGATGCACCCGCCTCAGCCTCCCAGTGCTGGGATTACAGGCATGAGCCACTGCGCCTGGCCATATTTTTTATTTTACTTTATTTTTTTGAGACAGAGTCTCACTGTGTTGCCCAGGCTGGGGTGCAGTGGTATGAACTGCCTCACTGCAACCTCTGCCTCCTGGCTTCAAGTGATTAGCGATTATCTTGCCTCACCCTCCTGAGTAACGGGGACTACAGGCCTGCACCACCACGCCTGGCTAATTTTTGTATTTTTAGTAGAGATGAGGTTTCACCTGACCTCAGGTGATGTGCCCACCTCCGCCTCCCATAGTGCGGGGATTATAGGCGTAAGCCTGTGCACGTGGCCCTTAATTTGTTTTTTCTAATGTTGAGAGACATTTGACTTATCTCAAATTTTTCCTGTTACAAACAGTGCTAGTGTGAACATTGTTACATGGGTCCTTGGTAGACCTGTGCATTTCTGTTAGGTATGTATCTAGCAGTGATAGAGGGAATCAGGGCTGTGCGGCTTCACTTTTACTATGTAAGACAAAACTTTTCCAGAGAGATTTCATCCCCTTTTTCATAGCAATGGGTTAGAATTTCAGCACTCTGCATTCTTTCTAACACTTGGTATCAGACTTTTCAATTTCTCCCAGTTGGATATGTGTGCAATAGTATCTCTTTGTCTTAATAATTTGTATTTCTAATTACAAATAAGCTTGAGCCCCTTTTTCTGTGTTTATTGGCTTTTTCACTTTTGATAATAGATAATAGGGAATAGTTTAAGTAAAATGTTGTTTTAGAAATGCATACTGAAATTCTTAAGGATGTAATACCAATTTACTTTAAAATATTTCAGCATAAAAAAAATAAAGACAGATAACATTTCAGTGACATCAGAAAATAGTACCTGGGAATACATCAAAGTATTCAAGAACTCTGTCAACAAGAGCATAAAATCTTCAGACATTGAAGAAAGTGGAGGTTGAATGTATTGGCTTACTTCTATAATCCCAGCACTTTGGGAGGCCAAGGCAGGCAGATCACCTAAAGTCAGGAGTTCAAGACCAATTTGGCCAACATGGTGAAACCCATCTCAATTAAAAATACAAAAATTAGCAAGGTATAGTAGCAGGTGTTTGTAATCCCAGCTACTCGGGAGGCTGAGGTAGGAGAATTGCTTGGATCTGGGAGGTAGGGGTTGCAGTGAGCTGTACTCCAGCCTGGGTGACAAGAGTAAGACTCCCTAAAGAAAAGAAAATGGAGACAAAAATGGATAGAAATACTATCTTCACAATGTGAAAGTCACAATATACTAAACATATTACCTGACAGAAATTTCTGTCCCATAAATTTGTGTGGCATTCCTTTTTTACATATAAGCTTATTTTCTGGACTACTTTTGTGATCTAAGGAGCCAACTAAAGTCTTATTGGACCTAGCATAAATTATTTCCCATGTGAATGAGTACTAATTACTTAGATGACTTTACCAGGAAAAAATTTAACAAAGAGCATCACCTAGTGACATATGTTAATAGCTGCATTTCATTCCTTAGTGCTAAGAAAGATGGTTTTGTTTTTTAAGCAGACTTTTATATATTTTATATTTAGTTCCTTTATATATGTTTTAGGAATTAACCCTTCTAGTCCAATAGCTATTTGTATCATAATCAGCATATAGAAATCAGATGAAGGCTTTGTTTTGTTTTAATGCAATGAATTGGTTTTTTTTTTTTTTTTTTTTTAGACGGAGTTTTGCTCTTGTTAACCAGGCTGGAGTGCAATGGCACGATCTCAGCTCGCTGCAACCTCCACCTCCTGGGATCAGGCAATTCTCCTGCCTCAGCCTCCCGAGTAGCTGGGATTACAGGCACGCACCACCATGCCCAGCTAAGTTTTTGTATTTTTAGTAGAGATGGGGTTTCACCACGTTGACCAGGATGGTCTCGATCTCTTCACCTCGTGATCCACCCACCTCGGCCTCCCAAAGTGCTGGGATTACAGGCATGAGCCACCGCGCCCGGCCTATGAATTGGTTTAATGTAATGCATTGATTTGTTGCACCTTGATAACTGGCAGGAGGATATCAAGACTGCATTCACATATTCTGAAATATTACAGTGCTTTATTATAGAAGTTTCATAACTCGGATCATAAAATTTATATGAGGATCTTTTAAGAAAATTCTTATTCCTGGGATATTGTGATTCATTTGGTCTGGAATATAACCTAGGAATTTTTTTTTTTCTATCTCCTCAGGTGATTCTGATCGTAAGTTGTAACAAATACAATTAGTTGCATATGGCAGAAAGCCATTCCCGTGCCTATTTGCTTCTCTGTAGCTACTAGAATATAGTACCCCTGTTGTCATGTTTTGTCTTTCACAGCCCCTCTTGCAAGTAGGAGTGCCAGCCATATGAGGGGAATCTGCTGAGACAATCTGGGAAAGACTTACCTCACTTACAAAAAGAAAGCACTTTTCTGCCAGGCTGTTTCTTCCTGAATATGGTTGTGAGTAAACATGATGTCTAGAGCTTGCAGCCGTGATAGGGACAACAAATGAGCTGCAGAGACAGCGATCCAGAGCCCTGACATTGTGAAGCTGCAGAAGTAATGAGCCCTGGGCTCTCAACCATCTCTAGAATTCTTGTAAGGTAATTATATGTTTAGAGCTTTTTCAAGCACCCATGTCTGTAAAAAAAAAAAAAAAAAAAGTTTTTAAATAAAGATTCTTTTATTATAAAAAAGAAAAGATAGACCGGGCACAGTGGCTCACAGACCGGGCACAGTGGCTCACGTCTGTAATCCCAGCACTTTGGGAAGTCGAGGTGAGTGGATCATGAAGTCAGGAGTTCAAGACCAGCCTGGCCAACATGGTGAAACCCTGTCTCTACTAAAAATACAAAAATTAGCCGGGCATTGTAGTGCATGCCTCTAGTCCCAGCCACTCAGGAGGCTGAGGCAGGAGAATTCCTTGAACTCGGAAGGCAGAGGTTTTGGTGAACCGAGGTCACACCACTGCATTCCAGCCTGGGCAACAAAGCGAGACTCTGTCTCAAGAAGATAATTCCATGTCTAATTAGACATTTAATGCATAAGTTGCTACTAATTCTGTTACTTTCAGCCAAATGCATTCCCAACTGATACCGCAGCAAGTTTTGTAACCCAATTTTATAGCACTCGTGCTATGGCAAAAAGAGAACGTCAGTATATGAAAAAATGATTCATTAGTAATGAAGACTTATGAATTTGGTTGTTTGATTACATTCTCCAAAGAATTGCTATACCATGTATACAAGATTATATATGTAAAATCTGAATCTTTTATAAGATAGATCTTATATATACTATACTTTTATAATGTAAAATTAAAACTGTTACATGTCACATTTATGCAAACATAAATATTCCATGATCCTAAACTTTTTATCTTAAGTGAAATTTATAACAAATTTAACTTTTTTTGGGGGGGGGAGGGAAGGAGGAAGGGAGGAAGGCAGGAAGGGAGGGAAGGAGGAAGGGAGGGAGGAAGGAAGGGATGAAGGAAGGAAGGGAGGAAGGAAGGAAGGAAGGGAGGAAGGGGGGGAAGGAAGGAAGGAAGGGAGGAAGGTGGGGAGGGAAGGAAGGAAGGAAGGGAAGGAAGGAATTCAAGCAATGAGAGGGACATTGCCAACCTGGATCTAGAGGTTTACAAGTTGATTTCTTTTTTTGAGAGAAGGAAAGAAAAAAAAAATGAGTAAAGGAGAGAAAGAAAGAGGAAGAGAGAGAGGGAGGGTGAACGGAAATATTGCTTTATTCTGAAAAAAATGGGTATTGATAATGGCCAATCAATGTTTCATTTAAACCTATGAGTAGGTGTGATGTGGTATTGACAAGAATGTATATTTTATGTATTTGAAGTGGAGAGCTCTATAAATATTTATTAAGTTTACTTGTTCTGGATCTGAGTTCGAGTCCTTGATATTCTTATTAATTTTCTGTCTCATTGAATCTAAGTCTCTATGTATCTGGGTGTTAGGATCGTTAGCTCTTGTTGTTGTATTGATCCTTTTACCACTATATCTTTGTTGCTTTACCACTATATCTTTGTTGCTTTAAAATCTATTTTATCCGCTATGGGAATTGCAACTCCTGCTTTTTATTTATTTATTTATTTATTTTTGCTCTTCATTTGGTTGGTAAATCTTTCTCCATTCCTTTGTTTTGAGTCTTTGTGTATCCTTGCATGTGAAACAGGTCTGGATGTAACATGCCATTGGGTTTTGGCTGTGTCTTTTGATTGGGGGATTTAGTTGATTTAAATTTAGGGTTACTGCCATTTGATGTTAACTGGCTGTTTGATCCATTCGTTGATGAAAATTCTTCTTTATGTTGGTGCTCTTTACTTTTTGGTATATTTTTAGTAAGGCTAATACTGGTTGTTTCTTTCTGTGTGTAATGCCTCTTTCAGAAGCTCTTGTAAAGCAGGCCTGGTGGTAATAAAATCTCTGAGTACTTGCTTGTTCATAAAAGATTTTATTTTTCCTTCAGTTGTGAAGCTTAGTTTGGCTGGATATGAAATTCTGGGCTGAAGGTTCTGTTCTTTGAGGATGTTGAATATTGGCTCCCACTCTCTTCTGGCTTGTAGAGTTTCTGCTGAGAGATCTGTAAGTCTGATAGGCTTCCCTTTGTGGGTAACCTGACCTTTCTCTCTGGCTACCCTTAGTATTTTCTCCTTCATTTCAACCCTGGTGAATCTAACGATTATGTGCCTTGGGGTTGCTCTTCTTGAGGAATATCTTTGTGGTGTTCTCTGTATTACCTGGGGTTGAATATTGCCTGCTTTGCTAGTTCCGGAAAATTTTCCTGAATAATATCCTGAAGGGTATTTTCCAGCTTGGATTCATTCTCTCCGTCGCATTCAGGTACACCTATCAAACGTAAATTTGGTCTTTTCACATAGTCCCACATTTCTTGGAGACTTTGCTCATTCCTTTTTATCCTTTTATCTCTAATCTTGTCTTCTTGTTTTTTTTTCATTAAGTTGGACTTTGACCTCTGTTATCCTTTCTTCTGCTTGAACAATTCGAGTGTTTAAACCTGTGCATACTTCTCGGAGTTTCTGTATTGTATTCTTCAGTTCCATTAATTCACTTATATTCCTCTCTAAGTTGTCTATTCTCAATAGGATTTTGTCAAACCTTTTTTCAAAGTTCCTAGTTTCTTTACGTTGGGCTACAACATGTTTCTTTTAACTCACAGAAGTTTCTTATTATCCATTCCTTGAAGAGTGATTCTGTCATTGGGATGCGAGATGTGGAACTGTGATCATCTTTAGAGGGAGAGGCATTCTGATTTTATGTATTCTCAGCCTTTTTACGCTGGTTTTTTCCCATCATTGTAAATTTATCCTCCTGTCGTCTTTGAAATTACCAACTTTCAGATTAGGTCTCTTGATTGGACGTCCAAGTTGTTAGTTCCCAGGGCCAGAACGGCAGCGTTAAGACTGATGGTGCTTTTCTGCCCAGGATTCTCCTGTCTGGCTTCCTTCTTGTGTTCATAATGGGCGACTCTGCCTTCCCCGGGCTCCAAACCTCAGTCAGAAGGGGAGCCGGCCCTGTTTACTCTGCTCTGAGAGCTGCCGCGCCAAGGTGCCAGCAAAGCCACAGCGCCGGCCACAAGAGTCGCGCTGGCGACCCGTGTGGTTCCTCCACTGGGGATCTTCTGCTTCGTGAGCGACCAGAATTTGTCTGAAAGTGTGGCGTCCTCTAGTTCTCTGTGCTTTGACTGAGAGCTGCAATCCCGAGCTGTTATCCATCGGCCATCTTGGATCGTCTCCCAGTATTAACTTTTAATTAACACATCTCTGCCCCTTCTTTTCCCCCTCTTTCTAAGTCTTTTCCTTTCTTTGTAACATTAGTCCTGTATTGAATGATTGCCCTATAATTATGGCATAGAATTTTTCTCTTTCATATTGTTCAGATTTGTCAGCAATACTGAAAGTTACAGGACCATTTTCCACAATTTTTACTGGCCGCACTAAGGGAATCTAGGGGGAGTATGTTGGGATTGCTTAGTCAGCAATATGCTAGTGAACCCCTCAACTTTGTCAAACAGTATACCTACCGAAAAAATATCATACCTTCCCAAATCTCATACATAGGACTTTTTAAGTAATTAAAGTCTTTTTAAGGTATTAAACAGCAGTTACATATGCGGCTGCATCTTTTAATTTCTACATAATCTCAAAAATTAAGAAAAGTTTATAATCTAAACATAGGTTTCTTACAAAGGAAATGCATTCTTTGCATTACCGTAGAATGTTTATAGTTGGTAGTTAATTGGTACTAATAAGGGTTTAAAACTATATTGGTTGTAAAAACACAAATAGTACCTAAATGCTCAGAGGTTGACTAAGGTTTAATATTTCCTTAAAACTTGGTTTAGACATTTCTATAACCTCTAGCAATGTTAATTTGAAGTATATGAATTAAATTTTAATATTAAACATTTACACGTAAATTATTTAAATATTTAAAATGAATTTTTTTTTTTAATTGTTATTGTTGGTGGTGTTTAGACAGAGTCTCATTCTTTTGCCCAGGGTGGAGTGCAGTGGTATGACTTTGGCTCACTGCGACATCTGCCTCCCCAGTTCAAGCGATTCTCCTGCCTCAACCTCCTGAGTAGCTGGGATTACAGGCACCTGCCACTAATTTTTGTGTTTTTCAGTAGAGACAGAGTTTCACCATGTTGGCTAGGCTGGTCTCAAATTCCTGATCTCAGGTGATCCTCCCACCTTGGTCTCCCAAAGTGCTGAGATTTCAGGCGTGAGCCACCACCACACTCAGCCACTTATTTTTATTTTTATTTTTATTATTTTTTTTGAGATGGAGCCCAGGCTGGAGTGCAGTGGCACGATATTGGCTCACTGCAACCCTCACCTCCTGGGTCCTGGTTCGAGCAATTCTCCTGCCTCAGTCTCCCAATTAGCTGGAATTACAGGCACTTACCACCATGCCCAGCTAATTTTTTTGTATTTTTAGTAGAGAGAGGGTTTCACCATGTTGGCCAGGCTGGTCTTGAACTCCTGACCTTGTGATCCGCCCGCCTCAGCCTCCCAAAGTGCTGGGATTACAGGCGTGAACCACCATACCTGGCCCACTTTTAAAAAATTTATTTATTTTTTCTTTTTTCATAAGTCAGCATATTTTTCACTTTTAAAGTAAATAAAATGTCTTTGAATTCAATGTAAGTTGTAACTAACATTTTATAGTTTGTTCATAAATATCTTGAGCAAAATAATCCAGACCCAAGAGATGATATACTTTATGGGTCCCTTTATGCAAAGTTCTGAAATAGTTTTAAGTAATTTATGGTGATAAACATCAGAATAGTGGTTATCTTTAGGAAGGTAGTATTGACTGGGAATGTGTGTAAGTGAGGAACTTTTGGAATGCTGGATTCATCTGTCTCTTGGCCCAGGTGATGGCTACATAGGTACAGAAATATAAAATTCAGCATTTAACAATTTATTTAGTTGTATGTCAGTTTTATCTCAGTTAAAAAGTGATAATACTTTAAAAATAGATTAGTATAGCCAGGCGTGGTGGCACATGCCTGTAATCCCAGCTACTCAGGTGGCTGAGGCAGGATAATCACTCGAACCCAGGGGGCGGAGGTTGCAGGGAGCCGAGATCCCATCATTGCACTCCAGTCCGGGCAACAAGAGCGAAACCCCATCTCAAAAAATAATAATAATAAATAAATAAATTAGTAGTGTATCGTGAAATCCATGTCTTAAAGTGAAACAACATAAATCTTGACTTAAACAAGAATAATTGATAAAACCACTCTGAGGCAGAATCATCTGAATCTTACCGCTGTGACCCTGAGCCCATTTCTTTACCTTTGTGAAGTTATGTTGTGTGTGCTGAGGGCTGCAGTTTCTACAGTGTAAAGTTATTGTGAGTATTAAATATGTAGAAAACACCTATCATAGTACATACTCTCTTCATGATGTTTATAGGTATTACTTTACTTTTTGGTTGAGGCATTTCTTTCAAATGATTCCAGGGGTTTTGTGGGTATAGGATGCAAGTAAGCTGGAAACTCTTGGACACAGGTAAAAGAAAGAAACCTTGAGACAGAATTCCTATTATGCTGAAAACAAGCAGATCCCTTCAATGAATACATTTATACAGGAAAGCCAGGCTTGCAATTCAGTTTTTAATGCTTGTTGAGTTATAGACCCTTAAATAACACCACCCAGAAATGTGTGAGTGCAGCAGCAAGCTTTAGAAAAAATATTGACAGTAAGGCCAGGCACGGTGGCTCACACCTATAATCCCAGCATTTTGGGAGGCCGAGGCGGGTGGATCACAAGGTCAAGAGATCAAGACCATCCTGGTCAACAAGGTGAAACCCCATCTCTACTAAAAATACAAAAATTAACTGGGCATGGTGGTGCGCGTCTGTAGTCCCAGCTACTCAGGAGGCTGAGGCAGGAGGATTGCTTGAACCCAGGAGGCGGAGGTTGTGGTGAGCCGAGATTGTGCCATTGCACACCAGCCTGGGTAACAACAGTGAAACTCTGTCTCAAAAAAGAAAAAATATTGACAGTAACAACTTAAACTGTCCATTATTTCTTTGTCAGAACTACAACTATTGCTAACTGTAATTGATATCACACATACACCAACAAGGAATTTGAGTAAATCAAGTGAGAAAAAAATTTGTATTTTAAAATTACAAAATTGAACTGAAAATAGAAAGTGAATTAGAAAAGTGTATTCTATCACACTGAACTTTTATTCGAATTCTAAATTTGCATTTTAAATTGCAAATAAATTTTTAACATAATTCAGTATGACCTTATGTATTCAACTTTTTATGTTTCCTTGTTTAATATAGTTACAAATTTATTTGTGAAATATATTTTCTCTTTTTCTTTCTTTTGAGATGGAGTCTCACTCTATTCCGAGGCTGGAGTGCAGTGGTGCAGTCTCGGCTCACTGCAACCTCTGCCTCCTGGGTTCAAGCGATTCTCCTGCCTCAGCCTTCAGAGTAGCTGGGATCACAGGCACCTACCACCATGCCCGGCTAATTTTTGTGTTTTTCAGTAGAGACGGGATTTCACCATGTTGGTGAAATCTGCAAGTGATCCTCCCAAAGTACTGGGATTACAGGTGTGAGCCAACGCACCCAGCCTATATTTTTTCCTTAATCTGTTAAGAGATATTTATTTCTTTTGCCATTATGAAGAAAAATCATAACATGGGAGCAATGACCTACATAACTGAAACAGGAAATGAATTGGCCCTGGGGAAATTGCCATGACCAACTGAAGTGAGAAAAGATGGTCTACAACAAGACAAAACTGACATCCCTTAGGAGAGGATACACATCTGCAAAGTCAGGAAACAGATAAAATTATTTTTAAAAGTATGTTATTTATATTTCCAAACAGTATACTGTACTTAATATGTTTTCTGGTGAAGTACTCTTTTTTTTTTTAAAGACTGGGTTTCACCATATTGGTCAGGCTGGTCTCGAACTCCTGACCTCAGGTGATCTGCCTGTCTCAGCCTCCCAAAGTGCTAGGATTACAGGCGTGAGCCACCATGCCCGGCATGCTGGTGAAGTACTCTTAAAACAATAGGTCCAATTGTGACTCTGGAAAAGCATATGCTGAGTGATCTAGAAACACAGGGAGAATAGTATATATTTCACCCAAAAACATTCTGAGCTTACTATTTAGAAATGTAAATGAACAGTTACACACTGTTTAAAAATAAGTTTCTCCTGTGTTTCTCTCCTCTGCAACACTTGTGGCTGCCAGCCGACATAGGGCAGGTGCAGTGTGAGTGGCTGCCAGTGGATAGTGACAAAAAACTTACTGAAACAAACAAGTGTTTCATAAATAATTTGGAAACAATTTTGGAATCCCTTTTTTGGCTGTGAAAACAATACCTTTCAGATCCTATTAAGTGATTTATGTGTGGGAAATCCTCAACTGGTAATGCATTTCCAGCTTGATGATGCTGTAATACTGTCCGAAAATGTGAGAGGATATACTACAGAAATTAAAAATGCCAGAGGAAGCAAGCCACCGTGAGTGGCAGGCTGTCTCTGCAGGGTCATGAACATTTGTTACAAAGTTTGCATTGTAGCTGTGTGGTGACTCAAACAGGTACAACTGAAATGGGCCCTTAAGGGATAGATTAGAGACAAAACAGGAATCCACAAAACAGCTCCATAGTATGTTTGGACAAGCATCTAACCAGTCAACCTTTGTATATTTTTCCAGTCATATAACATCCTCTTTTTCTATGATCTACTTGTCAAGTAAATTTTGCCCACACATGGGACGTACCTCAGTCTGGAAAATAAACATGTTCTTCCCAGCTGTAAACTGACTGCAGAATGACTAAAAACATCATGAAATTGAACTTAAAGCAGCAGTTTTGCGTTTCTTGGTTCTTCATTGCTGCATTAAGGAGATGGAAGCTTTAGAAGGAGTTTCAACTCTGGGGTCACTGTCCCTTGATAGAGACCCCACCTGTATGGAGGAGCTGGCAAATCTACATCTGCACTTAATATTGTTAGACTGACTATTGTATCTTGCTATTTATTTACTATTTTTATACGTGGTTTATATTTTTTGATGTGATTAGTTAAGTCCAAATTGAACTAAAATTACTACAGTATTCCTGAAATTAATGTATTTCCTCAATTTACACTAAGGTTGAATTTAACATTGTGGGACTGTGACTTTTTTGCTGTTAAAAGGGATTCTTGGCCTGGAAATGGTTGGGAACTACTGATAAAAATACCAGCCTTCATTGTACTGTAAATTCAGTTAAATTGTATGAAAGTTTTTTTTCATAATTGTCTCTATATTTTTTAAATGCTTTATTTTTATGCATAATATACATGCATAAGACTCACCAATTTTAAGTGCATAATTTAATGATTTAGTAAATTGTGCATTTTTCATCACAATCCAGTTAGAGCATTTCCATCATCCCAAAGGATCTCTCATGCCCATTTGTAGCATTCCCATACTCCCTAGCCCCAAGCAACTTAATCTGTGTGTCTATAAAATTACCTTTTATGAACCTTTCATATAAATAACATCATAAAATATGTAGTCCTTGGATCTAGCTCCTCTCACCTTACATGACATTTTGAGGTAAAGCCATGTTAAAACATGTACCAATAGTTTATCATTCTTTTTTTTTCTAAATAGTATTCTATTGTATGGACATACTAATTTTGTTTACCCCTTCAAATTTGGATTGTTTCCACTTTGGGCTATTATGAACGATACTGTTGTGAACATTTGCATGCAAAGTCTTTGTTTTCATTTTTGGGGGGTATATATACCTAAGAGGGAGATTAAATTGCTGAATTGTGTGGTAAATTCATATTTAGTTTTTAAGGAACTACTGAACTTATGGTATGTCTGCAAACTTTTACAGTCCTAGAGCTTTGTGAGGGCTCCGCACTGAGGAGGCTCCAGATCCTCACCAACACTTGTAATCGTCAGTGCATTTTGATTACTGTCATTCTAGTGTATTTGATGTCTCATTGTGGTTTTAATTTGTATATTTCTAATGACTCATGATGTTGACTGAGCATCTTTTCATGTGTTTATCAGCCAATCCTATATCTTCATTTGGTGAAATATCTATTCAGATGTGTTGCCCATTTTAAAAATTGGGTTGTTTTCTTTCCATTGAGTTATGAGTCTTTTATATATTTTCTAGATACAAATACTTTATTGGATATGATTCGGAAATATTTTCTCGCAGTCTGTAGTGTGTTATACATCACTTTTAAGATATCCTTAACATTTAGAAACTAACATTGTGAACAATAATCCTGGTAGTGACAGAGGTTTAGATTCCTGAAGCCTGAAAGACTAACTGCTGTCCCCCCGGGGCGCGTGCTGCATCATTTACAAAAACTGTAGAGCACCTGTTGTGAGTGCAGTTGTAATTGCTTATAGATTTTTAGAATTGGAAGGCATGTAGAGAACATGTAGTCTGGCACATTGCTTCAGTAGGTAAGTCAGTATGAACTTTTAAGAATTTTTGTTTTCTTCTGTAGTGGGTCTATTGTGGGTATGTTCAGCATGACAGGGGAAAGAAGGGGAATGGCATCCCCTGAGATTGTGATGAAATGGCTTTCATCATCTTTAAATCAAAGTGAGATGCCAGTAATAGGACATATGTATATATGTACACGTGTCCCTGTGTGTATGTAAATAAACATGCTGGGAGGAGGAGGTGATTCAATCAGGGACTTGATAAGGACAAAAGAATAACTGGACCTTCCTTTAATGATGAAAACCGTTTACAAACAAACCATCAAAGCCAAAATGTGAATTCTGGTAGTAGCCTGATTCTTCCTAAGAAAATGTTGATGTAACCATTGTAGTGGCAGAGATTGTTTTGGTCCATTCTAGATCCTCTTTTTTTTTTATTTTGGTCTGGTTGGGGGTTTTTCCTCCCACTTAGGTTGCTCTTATCCACCACTACACTGGCTGCTTTTATTCCATAGCAGACAGTCCTTAAGTCTTTGCATATGTCCTTATTCAAAAATTAACTGTCATCAGTTTTTCTTCTGCAGAAAACGTTTTTTTAATCTCTTATATGAGAATGCTCTGCATCTGCATTCTCTGGTTGATGCAGTTTCCTGTCTCTCTGCTCTGTTCCCATTTGGTAGAATAAATCAGTTCCTGCTTGAATTCTGAGCTGATAATGTTCTCTGCATATCCCAAAAGTGTGGACACTATGAAAATCACATGCCATTAAACACTACCCCCAAACACAACTAGTGGGATTAATGGTTCCTCATTAAATAAATGCCCAATGTGATACAGGGCAGTGGTCCCCAGAAATGAATGTACCTTAGAATCACCTGTAACATGTATTTAAAATACAGATTCCCTAGCTCCACAGGCAAAGCACCCCTGCGATGTGACACACTGATACAGTTCAGGGAGCCACTAAGGCGGGCCAAAATGGTTCAGCAGGCAAAGGTCCAAGCTGCCAGTGTATTGTGTCATTACAGCATGCTTAGCATAGCTAGGAGGTTGGGCCCACACCCAGCCCCACAGCTGTTGAGCTTACAGACTCGGGCACAGGGCTGTCTAAATGGCAGATGTGGGCCACAACTGTTGGGTACAAGCCAAGCTATATGTGGGAAAATCTTACTGTAAGGGGCAAGTGTGAGTAAGATTTAGGAGCCACAGGGAAATACAGCAACACAGTAAATCTTGTGTTATGGGAGGGATGTGGAAGAAAGTGATAAACTACTGGCCAAGGTGTCTTCTGATTGGGTGACTTGCCACCATATGGGCCAGGCAGGTTGCAGCAGCTCTGCCTTTGGGAGGTGGCTGGAGAAGGGGAGGGGAGAGAGGCATGTTGAAGACAGATGCACCCTTTCCTGAGCAGGCGTTAGCGTTCAGACTGCAGAAAGGAATCCCACAGCCTGTTTCCCATCCCTCTTGTCCTCATCAAGAATTGGTCCTCATGTATCTGCTCTGCTTCCACTTTCTCAGGATGCTGATATTTTCGCAAATACATTTATGGAAAACAGTTACCTTGCCCACCTCTCCAAACATCTATTGGTTTTACATTTTTGTTGCAGGGGAGTGATCTCTTGACCTAGCTTCAAATGGCATAACATTCAGCAGTATCTGAGTTTGGATATATCTGATGAGAGGAAAGTAATTGTGAGGCCTTTGTTCTAATTACAACTTTGTCACTACCTGACTCCATGACTCCAGCAAATTGCTTCAACTCTCTGGCCTGCAGTTCTTCCTTGCATGAAATAACAGGCTTGGTCTAGATAGGTGGTTCTTATCATATGGTTTCTGGACTAGCAGCATCAGTATTACCTGGGAAAATTGTTAGAAGTGCAAATTTTTGGACTCCGCCCTAGACCTACTGAAACATACTCTGTGGGTGGGGCCCAGCACAGCAATCTGTGTTTGAAATGCGATTTTGATTATTTGACAAAAGTCTGCAAATCACTGGTCTAGATAAGTAGTTCTTAGCCTTGGCTGCTCATTAAAATCATCTGCGCAGCTTTCATAACCTACCAATCCTGTCCTCTTCCTCCAAAGATTCTGACTTAAATGGTTTCACGTGGGGTCCATGGTTATGTGGTTATAGTGGACGTCTAGGTGCTGTCTGAGGTCTTCAAAACTGAAAGTCAGTGTTTCCCAGGTGTAAATGGATACCTCTAGACCTGGCCTTCTCAAGCTATTAGGTGTTGCTATAATAGAAAAGGAAAGGCATTTTCAAAACTGTCTTTGGTTGTGGACAAGGAGGAGGAAAATGTATTTCTTAACTTCTAATAAGAGATTATTCTGTAATTTTTATCTGAGTGCCATTTGCTAAATATTCATTTGCAACTTTAAATTTAGTCAAAGAAATTAAATGCCCATAAATGACAGAGGAAATAAAGAAATTGTGATATATGTTTTCAATAATATACTCTTTAGCAATAATAATTAAACTAGTGATGCACATTGAAGAAGTAATATCATATCATTCTTCTAAGTGAAAGTCAAACACAGGTAAAACTAATCTATGGTGATTGAGGTCAGGATCATGATTACCCTTGGGGGTAGGGTGGTAATAATTAGAAGCAAGCACAAGGGAAACTTCCAAAGTGCTAGAAATGTTCTACTTCTTGACCTGGTGGTAGTTATGTACATATATACACACTGCACATATATATGCACTGAGCTGTACTCTTAAATTTGCATACCTTACTGTATATATGTTACTCGTCAGTAATAAAGATTTACAAAAAATAAAATGTAATCCTCAAGTGGAGTATCCCACTATCACTTGGTAGATATGCCAACTACCTTGGTATTTATGCCATCTGTGGTCACTAAAAGATGAACACAGCACTTTGATTTCATGTTGACATTAAGTTAAAATGTATATATCAGTGTCTGTCATCCCAAATTGAGAAGGGAATAGCATGGACTCTATTTATTTAAAGGTTTGGTTTGTTTTGAATATTTGCATGTCTGTAGGACCCACATTCTGCAGCAATACCCATGGGTGATTGCATCTCTTATCAAAACCATCTGCTATTCCTCCTCAAATCTTGTAATAGGATATAAGAAGTAAAACTGCCTGCTTTTCACTATCTGCAGAAAAAGACCTCACCCCTTCTCCTGTCAGTGACAGGAGGTCAAATGCATCCTAACAAATCAAGGTGAGATAAAAAAGAAACTACTCTAGCAGACAGAAACAAGTCCCTGCAAATTGCAATAAGCCACTGGCTAGTTAAACAAGGCATATTGGAAAGGCATTCAGAGAAGACGAATGTGTTAGGGAAATGAAAACCAGAGTCACTTAGCAGAATGCAGAAAAATCCTTTGGAAAGTGAGTCTTATAATAGATGGGAAATTACAATCCATCACTCAGCTATCACTTTAAAGCCACAGGCTGGGTGATTTCACTTCAGGGAGCACATCTTAAGCACTGTTCCTTAAAAGCACAGCTGGACTGGTTGATGTCTACCTATGAAATTATTCAAAGAAGCCAAAATCTTTGTTCAGCTGTGACTGTATTAAATGCTGTCAGTTTTACCTGATACTGTCTTTTGAAATGCTGTGTTCTGTGCCATTATGTTCCATTTACTTTGATGTCTGTCGGAGTTGGGTAGAATACATAAGACAGTTTTTTTTTTTTTTTTTTTTTTTTCAGATTAAAAAAAAGTTTTTAGGCCGGGCATGGTGGCTCACACCTGTAATAACAACACTTTGGGAGGCGGGCGGATGGATCACCTGAGGTTAAGAGTTCCAGACCAGCCTGGCCAACATGGTATAACCCCATCTCTACTAAAAATACAAAATTAGCCAGGCATGGTGGCACATGCCTGTAATCCCAGCTACTCAGGAGGCTGAGGCTCAAGAATTGCTTGAACCCGGGAGGCAGAGGCTGCAGTGAGCCAAGGTCACACCATTGCATTCCTGCCTGGGCAATAAAAGTGAAACTCCTTCTAAAATAAAAAAGTTTTTTAAGAGATGGAGTTTTGCTATGTTATCCAGGCTGGACATGAACTTCTAATTTGTGGGCTCAAGGGATTCTCCCACCTCAGCCTCCATGAGTAACTGAGACTACAGGCACATGCCACTTATTACCTTTAAAAAAATCACAAATCTACAAGTTTGAAAAGGTGAGGGGACTTTATTTCTTATAAGGGGGTTATATCCTGCAGGCTAGAAAGCACACCCTCCAGCCAAGACCAGAGACAGGCACTTTGAAGGAGGAGGGGTTGGGGTACGAGCTTTATGATGAATGGGTTGGCTAAACATACAGATTCAACAGGTTACAGGAGGATTATAAATATTCATGAAGGTGGTCCTGACGCATGCATATTGAACAAACATGCATGTTATGTACAACCCATGTTCACTTTGGGGTGCAGACTTACATTTAAATGTTAGGCCTATACATAACATTTAAAACTTAGGTCCTGTACAGGTCTTTTCAGGACATGAATGTACACAAATGCACAACCTCTGTAAACTGGCCAGAACCAGTCTGTAATTGGTGGTCTTATCAGGGGAAAGTTATTGAAACCAGTTTCTTGTCTAATCAAGGCTATAGTTATAGCTGGTACACCAGGGATTCCGTTAGTCAGTGTTTGCATGAGCTGCAACTTTTTTACCATTGCTTATCTCAAGACCAGCATTTGTTTAACTGCTAGAGAAAAAGAAAATCCTTATGGCAGTTAGAGTACAGTTTATCCTTTAAGTGTAGGAATGTGACTTAACTCTTGCCTGGCATAGCCTCGGTCCTGTTTATAATTTGGTATCTTATTGCCACGAAGCATCTGTTCTTATGTTCTCTATTTTAGCATTAATGCTGAGTGGTCACGGTGCCAGGCTGTTACTAGCCCCAGGGTACTGTACCATGCTTAGTGAATTCCTTATGCCCTATTCACATCCTTGTAAATAGTTCCTTTATTAAACACTCTTTAAACTATCCAATTGGAGTATGTTCATCTATTTCTTTCGGGGATCTTGACTGATACAGAAATTGCTGCTACAGGTGGCCCCAGGAGAAAGACACTCAGATTGGGAATGTGGGTTTGGATAGCCCATTTACTTACTTGCCAGTGGTAAATGTGACACAGGTAACCTGGCCATAGGGCAGCATCATGGTTATTCAGATTATCCTGCGCGAGCATGAGATGAAAAGCAGGAAGAGGGCACGGCACTGGGAGATCAAGTACTGTGGCTCTGGCATTATGGTGATTAGCAATGAATATATAGAATCTCCTGGCTTCCTTTGACAGTGCTAGAAAGTATATGAGGAATAAAGGAAAAATGAAACTGCATTTGCAGTTGAGATTGTTAAGTGGATAATCAGAAAGCCTGGCTGGCAGCTTTTGAAGGATGAATTACCTCCTGTACTCACAGAGCAGATGAGACTGTGGGCCATGTCCAGTTCCTAATGCTGAGCATTATAACAACATTTAATTAGGTTGCACACCAATTTCACTCAGCTGCTTCTGCCAAGGAGAGGGCACTGGTAGAGGAGTGGGGCTTAAAAGAGAGGTTGGATCAATGTGGGTAAAACAGAATTTTGAAACTCCAGACTCCCTTGGACTTCCCTGCTATAGGAGGGAGCTCTGCCGCCACTATTTGAGAGAAGCAGTTCTTACTTGCATAAAATTTTTTCCATACCTGCACCTGTTGCAGTTGTCATAGAAGCTGAGGCCAGTGCCCCTCAGGACCTCCCTCCACCCAACACATGTCCTTCATTACTACTAGGCCTTTACTGAAAGTAATTACAAGTCCTGAAGTGAGTAGTGATACCCTGTACACAAAAAGAAGTTTAGATTAGGATTGTACCTAACTGTATCGTCAGGAGCCTGGGGAGTCCTTATGGGGTAGTAGATCCTAAGGATGTAGATCAAGGAGAAAAAATATATGGCTTTATTGAGCCACACTCAGAGATGGGTTGGGATTTAATGTATTGCATGGGCCACTCAGGAATGACATTAATGGTCTACTAGCTTGGCTAATTGAGCCTGAACTCATGGCCTCGAGCCTTGATATTCAGTGTGGTCTGTGGATCAGCGGCAGTGGCATCACCTGGGAGCTAAATGGAATCCTAGAATCTCAGAATCCACCCAGACCTACTGAAGCAAAACTCTGTATTTTGCAAGCCTCCTAGGTGACTTGTGTGTGTGTGAAAGATTGAGAAAAACTCTAGGCCTCTGATACAATGAGGTCGAAATATCGAACAGTGGCTTTCAAAAGTGTGTTCCTAAACGACGTGTTGGCATCATTTGGCAACTCAGAAATGCAAATTACCAGACTCCACCCAAGACCTCCTGAATCAGAGACTCATGGGGTAGGGCGCAGGAAACTGAGTTTTCACAAGCTCTCCAGGGGATTCTGATGCACACTGTTGTTTGAGTCACTTTCATGACCTGCTTATGGCCTATAGTTAATCAGGTCAAAATGCTGGAACTTCCCTGGCATACCAAAGAGTAGTGCTTCCCTATTACAAACAGCTACTCAGCCACCCTCTCATCTACTTGTCACCAAAGCAGCAGGCAGTGCATCAGTGGGAAGATACCAACCTGCTTGAAAAGGTGATGACTCCCCTTTAGAGGCCAGAGATGACCTTAGGGGGAGATTGCAAAGGACTGGTTTTTCTGATCTCATGGGAATATGGGATCCCAGAGGCTTGAGGCAAAATGGCAGTGCTTCACTGTCAAAGATGGTTGAGTACATCGGCTATGGTAAGCCACAGAGTATGGTAAGCCAAAGAGACAGAGGCAATTAGAGATTTTTGGCCCATAGGCATCTGTGACAATAACTGAATGATCATACGATCTCTTGAAATGTATGGTCTCTACTAAAGTTCTTCTTGATATACACAGATGAAAAAATTGGGGCTATACTGGGAAAACCTCAAATCTACATAATGGGAAATCCTGGCCTCTTAGCTCCCAGTTCTAAGCCAAAGCCCCTCAACAGAGGGAAAGGGTGGATCCTTTGTGGACAGACGCTATAGTAGAGGCACGGTTGTTTTTCATGAATGATTTGTCTCCTCTTCCCTGGAAGAACCTACTGCCATTTACTTAAGAAACTATACACAGAGCAAAGAGAAATAACACACCATCTCAGGAGTTACTAGATACCTACTCTGAACTGACATTTATCTGAGGAGACCTGAAAAATGCCAATGGGGTCCTCCATTCAAATAACTGGTGGGGTCTGGGCCCAGGTTCATCTTATGGTTGATCCACATTGTGGTTATTTCCCAGCCTTAAAATATATAGTGGGGCTAGACATACTTAGTAACGGGCAGATGCCCATATTTGTTACCTGATTTATGGAGTGAGAGTTACTGTGGTACAAAGGGCCAAGTCAAGACCCTGGAACTGCACCACTACCCTCCTTCACCACAGAAGCCAAAAGCAATTCCCCATCCTTAGGGAAATTGCAGAGGTTGATGCCACCATCCAACACTTAAAAGATGCAGTGCTTTGATTCTTATCACATCCTCATTCAGCTTACCCGTTTGGCCAGTGTAAGTGTCAGACAGGTTATGGAGAATGATTGTGTATCACTGCAAATTAAACAGATGGTGATGCCAAACATAACAGTGACCTGGATGTGGTATCTTCACTGGAACAAATCAATATGGCCCTAGTGCCCATTTACAGTCATTGACCTGGCACATTCCTTCCTCCCCTATTCTCACAATAAAAGTCAGAAGAAGTTCACATTTTCAAGACAGGACAACATACCTTTACTTAGTTGGCTCCAGGCCACATGAACTCTCCTGGTCTCTGTTATAAAACAGTCCAAAGGGCCTTTAGTCAACTTGATATTCTATACTGTGTTGCTCTCATCCTTTACAATGATGACATAATGCTAACTGGAACTGGGGAACAGAAAGTAGCAAGGACCCTAGATGTCTTAGTAAGTCACATTCATGCCAGAGGATAGGAAGAGAGAGTCCGTTAACGTTCAGGGGCCTGCTGCACGTGTAAAGTTTTGAGGGGCGCAATAGCCTGGGGTCAGTATCTCACTTTCTAAAAGTGAGAAGTAACTTGCCCTGCTTTGCACTGATCACCACAAAGGGACATAGCATTTGTGGGGCCCCTTTAGATTTAGGAGGCAACAAGCCACATGTGTGCATACTGCTTGAACACATCGCCTAGGAAACAGTGAAGCTGACAGTTTAGAGCAGATATAGAGCACAAAAGGGTTCTGAGGCAGCTCCAGGCTATGGTGCCAGCTGTCCTGCCACTTGAGCCTTCTTACCCCACAGACCCAATGATACTCAAAATAGTTTTGACCAACAGAGGTGTCTTATGGAGCCTCTGGCAATCCTCAGTAGGAAACTCATGACCTGCTGGTGACTATTAACTGTTGGAAGGTGGCTCTGGCTTGCTCCTGCACCCTGGTAGAGCCTGAATGCCTTATCATGGTCTGCCCATGTTTGTATGACCCAGACTACCCATCATGCATGGAATATCCACTGAACCATGGAATTCATTGATCTAACATGTGCCCCATTACCTAAAATAACCTGACTTGATAAAGGGTAGAATGTCTAGATTACTGTAGATTCAATCAATGGAACCCATTCTGTAAGTTTGGGTTGCTGTCTTACCAGTTGCAGCATAAAATCATCAGTGAACATAAGAGGCCCTCTTCCCCAGAGCCAGAACACATAGGAAACAAGAAGTGGATGCATGTAAGAGTACACTCTTACAGCTGTACCTAACAGCCCTTTTAAGATTTTGCTTCCTTTCCCCACTATCCTGAGTTCAAAGGATTTGAATGTCTAGGACCTGTAGGAAAAATTCCACCACCAGGAAATACAGTGATGATTCCAACTACTTGGTAACCTTGACCACTTTAGGCTTCTCATGCCTCTGAGCAAACAGGCAGAGAAGAGAGCTATCCTACTGGCCAGGGTGACTGATCCTGATACCAGAAGAAATGAGGTTGTTACTTCACAATAAGGGAGAAGAGAACTACAGCTGGAATGCAGAGGATTCACAGGAGCATCTTTTAGTTCTCATTTACCTAGTAGTCTTACTCAGTAGAAAACATAGCCATCTAATAAAACAAGACCATTAAGAACTCGGACTCACCTGGAGTCAATGTTAGAGCTACCCCACAAGGTAAAGAACCCCAACCAGCTGAGTTCTGACAGAAAACGCAAAACAGGTGGTAGAGGAAAGCAGAGGCTGAGCACAGTGGCTCCCTCCTGTAATCCCAGCACTTTGAGAGGCTGAGGCAGGTAGATCACCTGGGCTCAGGAGTTCAAGACCAGCCAGGCCAACATGGTGAAACCCCATCTTTCCAAAACCTACAAAAATTAGCAAGATGTAATGTCGGGAGCCTGTAATGTGGGAGGGGTTAAGGCAGGAGAATCGCTTGAACCTGGGAGGCAGAGAATTGCTTGAACTGCAGTGAGCCAAGAGGATATATAGTTGGCAGATAAACACATGAAAAGATGTTCCACATCAGTACCCAGTAGGAAACTGCAAATGAAAACCACAATGAGATATCACTACACATCTATTATAACAGTTAAAATAGAAAAGATTGGTGACAACTCAATCTTTCATACGTTTCTGGTGGGAATACCAAACGATGAAGCCATTCTGGAAAATAGTTTGACAGTTTCATAGAGATCTAAACATACCCTTGACATATGACCTATAGTCATACTTCTGGGCATTTACCCCAGAGAAATAAAAATTCGGGTCTACACAAAAATCTGTACAGGAATGTTCATAGGAGTTTTATTTGTAATAGCCCTGAACTGCAAACAACCCAAATATCTTTTTTTTTTTTTTTTTGAGAGAGAGAGAGGATGTCACTCTGTTGCCCAGGCTGCAGTGTAATGGCATGATCATATTTCACTGCAACCTGGACCTCTAGGTTTCAAGCAATCCTCCTGCCTCAGCCTTCCAAGTAGCTGGGACTACAGGCATGTGCGAGCATGCCTGGCTTTTGTGGTGGTTGTTGTTGTAGAGACGTGGTCTCACTATGTTGCCCAGGCTGGTTTGTCTCACACTCTTGAGCTCTAGAGATCCTTCCACCTCCGCCTCCCAAAGTGTTGGGATTACAAGTGTGAGACACCACACTCAGCCTTCAAATGCCTCTTGTTATGTGAATGCTTAAACCAATTGTTGTACATTGATACTACGGAATATTACTCCGTAATAAAAAGGAACAGACCATTGATATGTACAACAACATGGATCTCAAGGGTATATTGTGTTATGTAGAAAAAAGCCAGTCTCAAAGACCACATACTGTATAATTCTATTGATATAACATTCTTGAAATGACAACATCATAGATATGGAAAACAAATTAGGTATCTCCAGGAGTTAAGGATGGTGAGGGTGAGCAGGTAGGTGTGACTGTAAAGGAACAGCACAAGGAGGTCTTTGTTTTTTGTTGTTTTTTTTTTGAGACGGAATTTCGCTCTTGTTACCCAGGCTGGAGTGCAATGGCGCGATCTCGGCTCACTGCAACCTCCGCCTCCTGGGTTCAGGCAATTCTCCTGTCTCAGCCTCCTGAGTAGCTGGGATTACAGGCACACACCACCATGCCCAGCTAAATTTTTGTATTTTTAGTAGAGAGGGGGTTTCACCATGTTGACCAGGATGGTCTCGATCTCTTGACCTCGTGATCCACCCACCTTGGCCTCCCAAAGTGCTGGGATTACAGGCTTGAGCCACCGCGACCGGCCACAAGGAGGTCTTTGTAATGATGGGATAGTTTTGTATCCTAACTGCAGTGGAGTTACATGATCTACACATATCATAAAATGACATAGGAGTATATGCAAACACATCGTACTAATGTCAATTTCCTCATGTTGATCTCGCACTAGAGTTACATAAGATGTAAGCACTGAGGAAGACTGAAGGCTACAGGGGGACTTGACTCTACTATTTTTTGCAATTTCCTGTGAATCTACGATTATTTTCAAAGTGAAAGGTTAATAAGGGCTGGGCGCAGTGGCTCATACCTGTAATCCCAGCACTTTGGGAGGCCAAAGTGGGCAGATCTCAAGGTCAGCAGTAGCTGTGGCTGTAAGTAGAGAAACAGCTACTGCAGGCAGTGGCTCACACCTGTAATCCACGTACTTTGGGAGCCCCAGGAGGGCAGATCACCTGAGGTCAGGAGTTTGAGACCAGCCTGGCCAATACAGTGAAACTCTGTCTCTACTAAAAATACAAAAATTAGCCAGGCATGGTGGTGCATGCTGGTAGTCCCAGGTACTCAGGAGACTGAGACTGGAGAATCTCTTGAACCTGGGAGGTGGAGGCTAAAGTGAGTCAAGATCATACCACTGCACTCCAGCGTGGGCAACAGAGTGAGACTCTGTCTCAAACAAAACAAAACAAAAACAGCCACTGCCAACCTGCAGCTGACCTAGGGAGGGAAAACCTGGAAAATGAATACCACGGATCACACTCTCCCATACTCTGCCTCCTACTTTTTACCTCCCATCTGCTCAATCCAGCGCCAACTGAGAGAGCATCCCTGAAACATAGCACTCAGCCCGCTGGGGAAGAGGAAAGGGAAAGTTGAAGATTTGAGCTAAAGGAAAAAACATTGAAAGTATCTAGCACAATATTCTTCTAAAACTTTTAAAAAATGGCTTACATAGATTCTTATTCTTTTCCTTCTGGTGTACACAAAGTACGATATTCCACATGCTTTCCTGAAACATGCTTTTTTATCCCACTCACTATATCTCAGAGACATTTTCAAATTGCTTCAAGAATAATTACCCATTTGGCCAGGCATGGTGGCAGATACCTGTAATCCCAGCACTTTGGAAGGCCAAGGTGAGTGGATCGCTTGAGCCCAGGAGTTTGAGATGAGCCTGGGCAATGTGGCAAAACACAGTCTATGAGAAGAAACACAAAAATTCACTGGGCATGGTGGTGCACGCCTGTAGTCTCGGCTACTCAGGAGGCTCAGGCGGGAGGATCAATTGAGCCCAGGAGGTCAAGGCTGCAGTAAGCCGTGATTATGCCACTGCACTCCAGTCTGGGAAACAAAGCAAGACCCTCATCTATTATTAATGTTTGGATCCAATCTTTTGCTATCACATTAATACAATGAATAGTCTTGTATACACATGTCATTTTAAAAGTATACAGTTGTGGATGCACAATAAATTCTCAGAAATGGAATTGCTGAGTTAAAGGCATTTGCATTCATAATTCTGATAGGGACAAGTGGCCCTCCAGAGGGTTGTATTTATTTAAACTCCTACCAGCAATGTGTGAAAAGTGCCTGTCTTCTCGTAGCTTTGTCAGCAGAATTTATTATTACTGTTTTGCATTTTTGCCAATCTAATACAAGGGAAAATAATAGGATAGTTTTCATTACAGTTATGTTCTTATGAGTAAGGTTAAGCAACTCTTCATAAATTTGCAGTTATTTGTACTTCCTTTTCTGTGAAGAGTATCTTCATATTTGCCCATTTTTCTACCGGTTTGTTGGTATTTCTCTTTTTGATTTTGTAAATAAAAAATAAAATTCTAAGGCCCACCAGCCATCTGAATGGACCCCTTCTCTCAGCCAAGAGTATTCCAAAGTTAATCCAAAAAACTAGTTCAGGCCATGATAAGAAGGGAGAGCCAGACAAGCCTCATCAGACCCTTTTAGATATAATTCCTTCAGGAATTACTGATAGAAAAACTCTTTAAGTCTGTTAAGACATATTTATAAGGCTGGGTGCAGTGGCTCACATCTGTAATCCCAATACTTTGGGAGGCAGAGGCAGGCAGATTGCTGGGGAGTTCCAAATCAGCCTGGGCAACCTCTGCTCTACAAAAAATGCAAAAATTAGGCATGTTATCACATGCCTGTTAGCCAAGCTACTTGGGAGACTGGGGTGAGGGGATTGCTTGAGCCTGGGGAGTTAAGACTGCAGTGAGCCATGACCACACCACTACACTCCAGGCTGGGCAAGAGAGAAAGACCCTGTCTCACAAAAAAAGAAAAAGAAAGAAATATTAATATCTATTCTCTGTAAAGCCTGCTCCCTGGATACTTCTTTTGCGTGATAAAACCCTGGTCCTCACAACCTCTTGTCATAACCCAAACATTCCTTTCTATTGAAAAGAAACTCTTTAAAACAATTGCTGATCAGAACATCTTTGTGCCTACTACTTGGAAGCCCCTGCTTCTGGTTGTCCTGCCGTTTCAGGCTGAACTAATGTACATCTTCCATGTATTGATTGGTGTCTCATGTCTCCCTAAAAAAGCTGTACACCAACCACCTGAGGCGCATGCACTCTGGATCTCCCAAGGGCTACTGAGTCATGGGCCCTTGATCACCCATATTTGGCTCAGAATAAATCTCCTCGAATATTTCACAAAGTTTGACTTTTTCCAGCCACAATTTCTAGGAGTTCTTTAAATATTAGGGAAATAAACTGTTCTTTTGTGATATTAGTTGCCAAGAGGGTCACTTACTTTTTTTGACGTGGATTACAATGTCTCTCTCTCCACCTCATGAGGAAGCTTCTGTTTGTTTGTTTGTTTAGCAATTAGTCATTTTTGGGGTTTTGTTATTTCTTTTCATGTTTATTTCAGCAATTAGCCATTTTTTTAAAGACTATTAAACATAACTAGTAAAGTCTTCACCACGTTAATGTTACAAAAGAATTTCTGAATTTCTATAGGTTTTCTTTTTAGAACTTGTATGCCTTCATATTTTACATGTAAATCTTTGATCCACTTGATATTTTCTTGGAGCAAGATGTAAGATATGATTCCAACTTAATTTTTTCCCAGACATTAACTGGTTATTCTAACACTGTTTACTGAATAATCATGACCCCTCTCCCAGATTGAGAGGCACCACTTGCTGCTGTTAAAATTTGCACGTAGTTAGATCTATTGATGGATTTTCTAATCTCTTCTGTGGGTCTATCTTTTATACTCTTTTTTTTTTTTTTTTTGAAACAGAGTCTTGCTCTGTCGTCCAGTGGCATGATCTCAGCTCACTGCAACCTCCACCTCTGAGGTTCAAGCAGTTCCCCTGCCTCAGTCTCCGGAGTAGCTGGGACTACAGGTGTGCACCACAACACCCAGTTAGTTTTTTGTATTCTAGTAGAGATGAGGTTTTACCATGTTGGTGAGAAAGGTCTTGATCTCCTGACCTTGAGATCTACTTGCCTTGGCCTCCCAAAGTGCTGGGAGTGGTGGCGAGCGCTGTAATCTCAACTACTCGGGAGGCTGAAGCGGGAGAATCGCTTGAACCCGGGAGGCAGAGGTTGCAGTGAGCCGAGATCGCGCCATTGCACTCCAGCTTGGGCAACAAAAGTGAAACTCTGTCTCAAAAAATTTTTTTTTTATTTTTATTTTTTAATTTATTTTTATTTTTTTCACTCTGTCACCTAGGCTGGAGTACAGTGACACAATCTTGGCTCACTACAACCTCCGCCTCCTGGGTTCAAGCGATTCTTCTGCCTTAACCCCCTGAGTAGATGAGATTACAGGTGCCTGCCACCATACCTGGCTAATTTTTGTATTTTTAGTAGAGATGAGTTTCACCATGTTGGCCAGGCTAGTCTCAAACTCCTGACCTCCAGTGGTACGCCTGCTTTGGCCTCCCAAAGTGCTGGGATTACAAGTGCAAACCCCCATGCCTGGCCTTTAAGGAAATTTTTAAAAAATGTTTTTCTTCACCCATAACCAGTTTAAAAGTTCTTAAATTCCTCTAATTCCATATCTGCCAAGCGAGACACTTGTTCCTCATGGTATTATTTCTTTTAGAGAAGATTAGCTTTTGCTAAGCATCTGCAAAAAGCTACTAAATTTTAATACTTTTCTAATTTCTTTGTTTTTGTTTCTCTTACCTGGTCCAGGAACAAGGAAATATTTTCAATGGTTTTATTCCCAGATGAGAAGCCCAAGGCCACATTCAATTAGACTCAGCCTCTGAATGGTGGTTTAAACACAAACCTGGCTGCATGAAGTTCATGTCACAAATTTGATGTCATGAAAGAGAAATTTAGTTGGTTAGTCACCTGGGTGGATAAGATGGGTGGTCACGGCAGATATAAAGGAATAATCCATGAGTGATTGAGGCTAAAGTAATCCTCTTCAGAACTAGGTCAAGCAGTTTATTTAGGGTTTGGATGGTGAGTCAGCCTGGCGAGGCTTGGGATCCAGGTTGAGGACCTTGTGAGGGGTGTGTGTGTGCGTGTGTGTGTGTAACTTGGATAAAAGAGTGAAAGAGTGATTCATCTTTCTGGAAGAGCCTCTGTCTCTGTCTCTGTCTTTTTTCTTGTCTTTCACACTTTCTTCATCTCGTTCTCATACATTTGCTTGTTCTCACACTTTCTAGAACACTCATTCTCTCTCTCAGGCCTGCTCTGACTCCTGTTTCTTTCTGGCACCCCCTCTTAAGAACTAGTGCAAGGCTTTTGCCTGAGACATGACAGGGCAGGTGTATTAGTCTGTTTTGACACTGCTATACAGAAATACCTGAAGCTGGATAATTTATAAAGAGAATAGGTTTAATTGACTCACGGTTCCACAGGCTGTGCAGGAAGCATAGCTGGAGAGGCCTCAGGAAACTTACAATCATGGCAGAAGGGGAAGGGGAAGCAGGCACATCTTCATATGGCCAGAGCAGGAGGAAGAGAGAAAGAGGGGGAAGGTGCCACACAGATTTAAACAACCAGATACCACGATAACTCACTCACTATCATGAGAACAGCACCATTCAATCACCTCCCATCAGGCCTTACCTCCAACACTGGGGATTATGACTGGACGTGAGATTTGGGTGAGGACATAAACCCAAACCATATCAGCAGGGGAGGGAAAAGAAGTGGTGAACCCAGGACTACCCCGGTGGGACTTGATCTGATTCCCTGTTGTTACTCCTTATCCATTCCATCTGCTATCCTGTTGTGTTCTATTTGGACTCCAAACTGAGGTTCACAGAGAAACTTCCATGGGCATCTAGACACTACTGTCATCTCCTTATTTCCTCCTACCCATGCTTTAGTCTATGTTTTGAGGATCCCTGGGCCTTTGGAAATATGAGGGAGCTTTGTTGGTCCTATAAATGTGCAGGGAAGGACAACAAAAAATAAATAAATAAGAAGGGAAACGTAAAAGGATCATAGATAGTGTCAAAGAGTAACTGGTGATTATATAGCTTTAAGGGAGAAGTTTTATGCCTATTTTTGTTTCAAAAACAACCTGTGGTCTTCACAAGCCCTGGCACTAAAATAAACATGAAACTAACAATTAAGCACAGGTTTCTAAGCTATGGTTTATTATCTTTGGCAAGACAGTGATCCAAGGAAAACACAGTACAGAAATAAGAAAGAATAAGCCGGGCGCAGTGGTTCATGCCTGTAATCCCAGCACTCTGGGAGGCCGAGGTGGGCAGATCACAAGGTCAAGAGATCAAGACCATCCTGTTCAACATAGTAAAACCCCATCTCTACTATAAATACAAAAATTAGGGGGACATGGTGGCGGGCGCCTATAGTACCAGCTACTTGGGAGGCTGAGGCAGAAGAATCTTTTTTTTTTTTTTTTGAGGTGGAGTTTCACTCTTGTTACCCAGGCTGGAGTGCAATGGCGCGATCTCGGCTCACTGCAACCTCTGCCTCCTGGGTTCAGGCAATTCTCCTGCCTCAGCATCCTGAGTAGCTGGGATTACAGGCACGCGCCACCATGCCCAGCTAATTTTTTGTATTTTCAGTAGAGATGGGGTTTCACCATGTTGACCAGGATGGTCTCGATCTCTTGACCTCGTGATCCACCTGCCTCGGCCTCCCAAAGTGCTGGGATTACAGGTTTGAACCACCGCTCCTGGCAGAAGAATCTCTTAAACTTGGAGGAGGTGGAGGTTACATTGAGCCGAGATTGCACCCCTGACTGAGATTGAGCGAGACTCCATCTCAAAAAAAAAAAAACAAAAACAAAAAGAAAAAAGAAACTGGGTAATTTGTAAGAAAAGAAATATAATTGACTCATGGTCTGCAGGCTGTACAGGAAACATAGTGGCATCTGCTTCTGGGGAGGCCTCTAGAAGCTTCCGATCATGGTGGAAGGCAAAGTGGGAGCAGGCACATCTCACGGTGAAAACAGAAGCAAGAGAGAGAGAGAAAGGCACCTCACTTTTAAACAGCCAGATCTTGCAAGAAATCACTATCATGAGGACAGCACCAAGAGGGTGGTGCTAACATTTCCTGAGAAACCCATCCTCATGATCCAATCACCTCCCACCAGCTCCGAGCTCCAACACTGGAGATTACATTTCAAGGCGGGATTAGGTTGGGGCCAATATCCAAATGCCATCAATTGTTAAGGAAATAAAAGCTTTCTGCCATTTTATACGCATGTTCCTCATTCAGATTACACAGTTCTTGTGTTGTGTTCAGTGTAACCCTCTCACTGGCTTTGTTCCTGTGAAGGCCAGTGAATAAAACTTCTTACGCTATTCATGAGGAATATTCATTGCCTTGAAGCAGGGAGCTGGGAAAGACAGGCCAGCTCTCAATCAGAAAACCAGAGCTCAGGTGACTCTCAGAACTCAGAGGCACAAAAATAAACCATGTTATATGATTGAGTCTGGCTCTGTAGTGGTTTTTTTTTTCCAATTTTTAATATTTTGTTTTATATATATATATATATCTATCCTCATTATTTTTAGAAGAGAGAGATATATATATACCTCCTCATTATTTTTAGGAGAGATATATATCTCCTAAATAATACATATATATATATATCCTCATAATATTTGTCATATATATATATCTCCTCATTATTTTTGGTAAGGCTACCTTTCAAAGTTCTGGCCCCGTTTCTGAAGATGTAAAGAAGGGCCTTAGATCCTTGGGAGCAGGGTTCTTACAATGTGGTCTCAGGGCCAGGAGTGGCAACAACATCTCCCTGGGGACTCAGGAGTAATGCAGGTTCATGTGTGTCACCCACATCTACTGATCAGGAACTCTGGGTGTGGGACCCAATGACGAAAGCTGTCCAAAGGGTTCGGATGCTGCTCAGGGTTAAAAACCACAGACTGATCTGAAGAGCTGCAGGGGACAGCGCCCTCTGGAGGCCACATGGTCACAGCAGCCATGGGGGAAAAAGAGCAGCTGCATCCAGAGAAAGGAGCAAGAGTCCAGGTTTCCAAGTCCAGCTGTCCCTTCTCATGCAAAGGGACTTCTGCTGTGGTCAACTTTGGAGATCCTGACTTGACTGAATTAAAGGATACCGCTGTTTTTTTAATAATAGTGCAGGCTCTCAGCATGGATGAATATGGGTGTGTTCTAAAATATTTAGTGTTCTATTTACTTTTTGCAGCTCGGGTGTTCATATCATTCCCCTATTCAAAATTTTTTTTACTAGTGCTTCATTAAACAGTCATGTCAGCCTAGTCTTTTTTTTTTTTTTAAAGGAGGGTCTCGCTCTGTTGCCAGGCTGGAGTGCAGTGGTGTGATCTTGGCTCACTGCAACTTACACCTCCCAGGTTCAAGCAATTCTTCTGTATCAGCCTCCCCAGTAGCTGGTGGGATTACAGTTGCGTGCTACCACACCCAACTAAGTTTTGTATTTTTAGTAGAGACGGGGTTTCACCATGTTGGCCAGGATGGTCTCAATCTCTTGACCTCATGATCGGCCCGCCTCTGCCTCCCAAAGTGCTGGGATTACAGGTGTGAGCTACGGTGACCTGCCCTCAGCCTAGTCTTTAAGGCCTCTGCAATGGGTCCAGTCCTCAGTCTCAGCTCTCTCTTTCTTCCTCCCTACATGGAAAAATGCTTCTTGCTTGCTTTTGTGTTCATGTTGCTCATGCAGCAGCGGCAGCTCACACAGTGTGTCTATTCACAACTATGTCTCTTCTCTAAACCAAGCTCCTTAAGGGCAGGGACCACATTCCATTCCTGCTTTTCCAAGCATTTAGCACAGTGCCTGTTAATCATAGCTGGTTGGAAAATGTTTTAAAAATGAGTAAGTGTGTGAATATTACTTGTGGTCTATCTATGCTGAACTGTTTTCTGTTCTTGGAACTTTCTTTGTCTTCCTTTGTGCAGTTCCTTCCAATGTGAGATGCCATTACATGTCCATCTCTACCCTCTCAAAATCCCACCCATTTTAAGATTCACTCAGAGTGGCTGCTTAATAAACACATGGGAGTGAACTGTACAGTGCGTGCACTTGATTGAGCAGAATCATCAGCTGGCAAGTTAAGTCACACTGCTCCTAGGGCAAAGTGCACACATGATAAAAAGTGGCACAAATAATAACAATGACACTAATCTATAATATCCATCAGTTGTATTGGTTGAGATCTTATCACATGCCAAACCTTGCGCTAAGCTTTTTACATGTTGTTTTTCATTTAATTCTTAAATCAGTTTATGGAGAAGGTATTGTTATTTATAAAAATTTAGAATGAGGAAATTGAGCCACAGAGGGGTTAAATAATTTGCCTAAAATTATACAGCTAAAAATGTCAAAGACTAGGTTTCACTACGGTGCCTAGGCTGCTCTTGAACTCAGGATCAAGGAATCCTTTCTCCTCAGCCTCCTAAATAGCTGGGACTATAGTCATGCCACCATACCTAGCTAAAGCCAATATTAAAATGTACATCTGGACCGGGTGTGGTGGTGCATGCTTGTAATCTCAGCACTTTGGGAGGCCAAGGCAGGCAGATTATGAGGTCAAGAGATTGAGACCAACCTGGCCAACATGGTGAAACCCCGTGTCTACTAAAACTACAAAAATTAGCTGGGCATGATGGCGCATGCCTGTAATCCCAGCTACTCAGGAGGCTGAGGCAGGAAAATCCCTTGAACCCAGGAGGTGGAGGTTGCAGTGAGCTGAGATTGCACCACTGCACTTCAGCCTGGATGCTCTAGTTAGATATATGGGGTCCAAGATAAAATGAAAAAGGTCCAGGGGGCTGCCATCTTGGTGAAGTTCATAGGGGTCCAATTGTTAGAGATATGCTGGACATCCCCTTTAAGGAAAGAAAGAAATCATAGCATCGTGTAATCTCCATCACAAAAAGGTGTAGTGATTCTTAAGCATCTTTGGATTTCAGATGCAGCCAATTCTGAGTGGAGACCAGTGCAAGAAAGGACTTTTATAAAGTCTAGGCTAGAGTTGTGCTGCAGTCTGCCCTGAGTCTAGTGCTAAATGACCCAGCAGGCCCAGTGGTGCTAGAGGTACCCAAGGTGGAAAGGATGCTGCCCAGTCTCTGACAAGCTCCAGTAGGAGAGGCACAGAACCGTATCTCACAGTCTTTCTGGATACAATCATGCCTTCTGAAGCAGAGAACCATGCCCTATAGGAAAAGGAGCTTGATGAGGGCTATCGCACCATTGTAGAGACTGAGTATCTGACTGTAGGACGCCAAGTAACGATGAGAATGGAGATGCTCACCATGGATGGGGCATCATCATAACCACTGACGCCTAAGGGACTTTTGTAATTTGTTGTATGATGAAAAATGGTTCATAGGGATCAGGCCAAAGCAGGTCCAGAGGGCATGTCACTTTTGTGGCACTAATGCTTCTTCTTCAGTTCACACACATGGCCTCAAGCAGCTTCTGGATGATCCAGTGGTGATCCAAGATCTCAGTGATCTTGCATCTGGTTCACAGATGGTGTGGCTCGGTAGAGGAAGGGAAGAAGAAAATGGACAGTTGCCATGTTATAGTCTCATTCAACATTGACCTTAAGGACAGAGTGTGGGGGAAATCCCGTCAGTGGACAGACCTGCAGCTGGTACACTTGGTTGTTCACTTTGTATAGAAGAAGTGGCCAGAGATACAGATATGCATAGACTTCTGGCTAGGAGTGGACGGTGTGTTTTGTTGACCAGTGGTGTGAAACTGGCAATATTAGAAGATGGGAGACATATGGATTGCTATAGTCTAAATGTTTGTGTCTCCTCAAAACTCAAGCTAAAACCTAACCTCCAAGGTCATGGTATCAGAAGGTGGGGTCTTTAGGAAGTGATTAGGTCATGGAGGGGATTCATGCCTTTATAAAAGAGATCCCAGACAACTAGCTAGCCCTTTCTACCATGTGGGGACACAGTAAGAGGCCAACATCTGTGAACCAGAGAGCAAGTCCTTATGAGAAACGAGTTCCTGGGGTAGGTGTTTTCCAGAAGGTCGTTTGTTTGTTTGTTTGTTTGTTTGAGATGGAGTCTCACTCTGTTGCTCAGTCTGAAGTACAATGGCGCAATCTCAGCTCACTGCAACCTCCGCTTCCTGGGTTCAAGCAGTCCTCCCACCTCAGTTTCGCAAGTAGCCAGGATTACAGGCATATATCACCACGCCAGACTACTTTTTATTTTTATTTTTAGTAGACATGGGGTTTCACCATGTTGGCCAGGCCGGTCTCCAACTCCTGACCTCAAGTGAGCCTCCAACTTTTGTCTCCCAAAGTGCTGGGATTACAGGCATGAGCCAGTGCGTCCGGCATTTTATTTAATTTTCAGAACAACTACATGAGTAAATATTACAGTCACAACAATGTTGATCAGAGAAGTTAGGCAACTTGCCAAGCTAGTCAGCTGGGTGGCTAGGATAGAATTTCTGTCTTCAACAGTGCGGATGCAATTCCCACTGGATTTGTGAACTGCAGAGCTATGTAACCTTCTGGGTCAGGTGAATTTACTGGGCCTCAAGAATCATCTTCCCTCATCTTCACTCCTTATTTTTTATCCTAAATTTTACACTTTGTTCCCCTCAGTCAGTCTGCAAACCTCCTTCACAGACCCTGTTATTGATTCGCTAGGACTGCAGGCGCTCACCACCATGCCCAGCTAATTTTTGTTTTGTTTTGGTGGAGATGGAATCTCGCTATGTTGCCCAGGCTGGTCTCGAATTCCTGGGCTCAAGCGACCCTCCCTCCTCAGACTCCCAAAGCGCACGGATTGCAGGACTTAAAGAGACAGTAAGTAGAACATCTTGGCTTGATAGGTCCAGGAAATCAGCCAGGGCAACTATCAGGTTGGACTCTATAGTGCAATTACCACTGTTGGCCACCAGATGGCAGAGGCACTCAGGGCATAGCCGCGAGAAGGCAAAGGATGTGCTTGAAGACCGGGCTATAGGGGAAGCCTCAGGCCGGAGAGCCAAAGGTTAGCCGCATTCTCTGCAGGGAGAGCCAGTTGTTCAGGTAAATATAATTCAGACAGCTAGAATATGGGATGCGCTGGTGAGATTCAAACAGGCTTAATTGGGTTCTACCAGAGGGAAAAATAGAGAGAGTGTGAGCTGGAGATTGGATCATTGCAACAGAAAGTTTCAAAGGCTCCAGATCAAAACACAACATAAATAAGCTGGGGAACAGGCTGGTTGCGCTCTGCAGG